AAGGGCCAAAGCCCCAGAATCTCACTGCCCTGAAGCCGGAAGGCCCTGCACCCTAAATCCAATCCAAAACTCCTTAAATCCTACATCCCCTAAATCCTAAACCCCTAAACGCCAATTCGACCTTCACAAAAGTTCTCCATCCGAACCCCTAACCCCTAAACCCCTAACCCCTGTAAACCCCTAGCCCCCGTACCCCGAAACCCCTAAACTCTACAAAAGATCTCCATCCTAACCCCTACACCCCTAAACCCTGAACCCTAAACCCCTAAACCCCTAAACCCCTAAACTCTACAAAAGATCTCCATCCTAACCCCTACACCCCTAACCCCTAGACCCTAAACCCCAAACCCCTAAACCCCTAAACTCTACAAAAGATCTCCCATCCTAACCCCTAAACCCTAAACCCCCTAAACCCTAAACCCTAAACCCAGAAACCCCCAAACTCTACAAAAGATCTCCCATCCTTACCCCTACACCCTAAACCCCCTAAACCCCCTAAACCCTAAACCCAGAAACCCCTAAACCCTAAACCCTAAACCCAGAAACCCCTAAACCCTAAACCCCCTAAACCCAGAAACCCCTAAACCCTAAACCCTAAACCCTAAACCCCTAAACCCCTAAACCCCTGACCCGGCCTTGGAGGGAGCTTTCCACTTCGGCCTTGTGCTGTGCTGTGAGCCGCTCCTGATCCGCGTGGTGGCTCATCGTCCTGGCAGTTCATTAGGGTTTATATAGGGGTCTATAGGGTTTAGGTGTTTAGGGTTTAGGGGTTTAGGGTTTAGGGTTTAGGGGTTTAGGGGTTTGGGATTAGGGATTTTTGGGTTTCGGGCTTCAGGGTTTTGGGTTTGATCGTGCTGGAGTTCATTATTTCCTGGATTATTGGGTTTAGGGCTGCGTTGCTTTGGGTTTAGGTTTTGGGATTAGGGGTTTCGGGGTTTGATCGTCCTGGAGTTGGGGACTTCATGGGTGGTACTTTTTGGTTCAGCTTTTCCGGGTGCATGTCAGCAGTGTCTTCGGATGTTGGGGGCCTCGACTTGTTTGGGGTGCGGCTGATTCATTCAAGGCAACCCAAACCCGGCCGAAGCCTCTACCCCAGCCCTGAAGCCCCGAACCTGAAAGCCCCAAAAAAGGCAAGGCAACATCTTCCAATTTGCCCAAACCCGAAACCTGAACCCCAAAACCTAAAGCCTTCTAAACCTAGACCCTAAAACCTAAAGCCTAAACCCTAAAACATAAAACCTAAGCGTAAGACCTAAACGAAACTGCTAAACCTCCGAAGTCCTACCGGGGAGTCCTCCGGGACTCCTCCGCCTGGGCGGCGAGAGTCTGCTCCTGGAGGCAGGCTGCGGATTTTTCCTCTCCGGCTTCTGTTTTGGGCTGGCTTCAATTTCGGGCTGAGGGTTTAGGGCCTAAGCCGAACCACTGAAGCCCTAAATCCCGAAAGGGATACCCTCAAGTCTGTAGCCCTCTAAATCGCCATAGCTCTGAAGTTGAGCCGTGACAATCTGAAACCTTTAACCATTTACGGGCTATCTTCTTAATTGAGTTTAGGAATATCCTGGGCTCCCAATGCCCTATCAACAACCCTGGGAATATCCTGGGCTCCCAAAGCCCCATCAATACCCCAAACCCGAGACCCTAACCCCTAAACCCCCAAAACCAAACCCTAAACCCTAAACCCCAAAAGCCAAACCCTAAACCAAAGCCCTAAACCCTAAACTCCAAAAACCAAACCCTAAACCCTAAACCCCAAAAACCAAACCCTAAACCCTAACTACTCCCAAAAACCAAACCCTAAACCCTACACCCTACACTCTGCAAGTTCGGGTGCGCATTAAACCCTAAACCCTAAACCCTACACTCTGCAAGTTCGGCACTTGCGGATGCTCGCCTCTAGCTGCGATCGGGCCGTGCGCTGCTTCTCCATTTCGAGCAAAGCCGCCCTTTGCTGCGTCCGCTCCTGGGCTGCAGCGTTAAAGAGGGGTTCTGGGGGGGTATAGTGTTGATACTAAAATGACTATAAGAAATCCTCCCAGAATAGTATAGGGTTTTGGGGTTTCGGGTTTAGGGCTTAGGGGCACGAGTTTCGGGTTTTGGTTTTTCGGGGTTTTGGGGCTTTAGGGTTTTAGGGTTTTCGGTGGGCCGAGGACTAGGCTTTGGGGTTTTGGGCTGCAGCTCGCAGCACTACACCCTGGAATCCAAACGGAAACGCTCGCGGCGAGTGTCTTGCATCGTCGCAACTTCGAAAGCCAGCTTGGAATTCCTCACAAGGGCAGGGTCGTTTAGGCGTTTGGGCGAGGGTTAAGGGTTTGAGGTTCACTCTGGCCTGGGTTTCTCCACCAAGAAATCTTCTATGTATCGGCTCCTGGCACACTGGTAACAATCCGTTTTGCAAAACCCCTAAACTCTGCAAGATTCGAAGCAGGCCACGCGGAGCTGAACGGAAGGAATAACGAAGAGTCGACATTTCGCCTGGAATAAAAAGATCAAACAATTTTCAGAGCTCAACATGCTAAACGAACACAACATTTGAAACCCTGTTCCAATCTATCTCCTACATCATTGTCTACACTCCTGGTTCAAAATCCTAAGCAGAAGTCTCTCAAAAACCGAATTGCCCGAACCCGAAATCCACACGGTAATAGGGACTCAATGTGAGCCTCGGGCTTGGCCCCCCAAAACCTCGCAGAGCCTCATCCGACAAGCCTATGCCCAACAGCTCTGGACCTCTGAACACTCAAACCTCAACCAAACCCTAAACCCTGAACCCTAAACCTCAAACCCTAACCCCTAAACCCTGAACAGCCTACCAAGGCCCAAGGCCCCTAAATTACAACTCCTTAAAACACAGTAACCCGTTTGGCCTGAATAAACATGATTCAAGAACTCGCAGGTTTTAGGTTGGACTTATAGGTACTTATAGTACTGAACATGCGTAGCCTATGAATTCGTACATCCTGAGCCCGAAGCCTTCAGAAATCGTGAACCCTAAACCCCTAAATCCCTAAATCCCTAAACCCCTGAACCCCAAACCCTAAACCCTATACCCCTAACACCCCCAAAACCCCTAAAACCCCTAAACCCCTAAATCCCTAAAACCCCTAAAACACCTAAACCCCTGAAACCCCAGAGAAGCCTTCTGTCATTTAGAGCCCTGTCCTCGAGCCATCGATCTCCTTCAGAGCAGCAGCTCCCTGGCAGCTTATGGAGTTTCTTCATCGTATAATTTAGGGTTTAGGGTTTAGGGTTTATAATAAGGATAGTAACGATGAACATAATGAAGATAACATAGCAGGACAACAAAAAAAAGCAGAAAGAGTAGAACTGGTGTAGGGTGGAAGGCCTCAAGGGGCTCGTAGGGGATTTGGATTGGATGTTTGGTGTCTTCAAGCCTCTATATCTCTGGAGTCTTTATCAGAAACTTTATCATCTGTCATACGCCGTAAGCCAAACTTGAAAGAGTTCAGGCCTCTCTTCGGGTGCACTTTTGGTCAAATTTGTGTTAGCCCAACCTTCTCGAGCTGCTCGGGATCGAACCTGCTGTCCACCTGGTCATGGCAGCGTAGGATGCCATGCAATGTGCGGTTGCATTGAAGCCTGATAAGCATGTTACCGCGTAACATACATTCTGCCGTCCTTCCTTGCCGATGACACTTTGTGCAGCAGTAGCTGTAGCATTTGTTGTGTCTGCTGCGCTGCACGATCCCAGCTGCCTCGTCACCCTTGGGTTTCGACCCACTGCCACCCAGTCGTGGAGCGTTCATGGCTCCCAACAAAACTCCGCGCGCTCCAGTGTAGATTGCTTTGGTGACGGTTCTAATTGATAAGATCTGCAGACTCGCAGTGGCCTTCAAGGCCGGCATGTCGCGTGTAGCTGATACGCAAAAGGAGCTGCAACAGATCTTGCGCGGATCGGTTGGGCAATTGCCTTCGTGGCTCCCTCTCCTCATGGGCCGCCTACTTGAGCTGACAGCTGCGGCTGACTGGATTCCGCGCACACTCAAAAGATTCATGGGTGCATTTCCCTATAACCTGGAGGAAGCACGACCCACCTTGCCCGTGGCAGCGGTGATCAACTAGTTGCAGAGTTAAGTCTCTATATAGGGAACGCTGTGACGCTATACCGGCAGAAAATGCCACAACGAGTCAACGATGGCTCATGATTTGTGTAAAGGCTAAGACCTGGGTCGACTCTCTATATCCATATCTTTGAATTAAGAATCGGTTGAGTTCAGCTTTTCCTTATCAAAAGAGCGGACTGGGAAGTGCTCATTCACACACGTGCGGATTCAGCACTATTCTTTGCTCGTCTCCTGTTCCATCTTCTTCTGCAGCTCATTCAGGATGCTTTGCTTCTTGCGACTTGCTCGCAAGTAATCATATATTTCTGCAAGGGAAAGACAATTGTGATGAAGCAAAAACAGGACAGTGCTCTAATTCTAACTTTCTGATTTCCACCTGCGACTCCAGACCCTAAGCCTGACCACCAGAGCTCCAGGCATGCCGCCCCCCTCGAAGGGAGCAGGCTGGAGGATTCCTCCCAGCCTTTGCAGGGCTTTGGCTCTTGTTTTGAAGGTTTTATTTGTTTTGTTCTTTTTTTTGGGGGGGGGGAGGGGGGGTGGGGTGTCCTTCGACTTGGGGTTTGGCGGTTTTTGCGCTTGGCGTGTTTTTGTTTGAGAAGGTCTTGGAGATGTAGTGCCTAGGTGTGAGGTGCTTCGAAGGCAAACGTTTTGGGTACGGCGGTCTTGGGTTCAAGTTCTAGGATTCTAGGACCTCGGTTTTAGGGTTTGGGGAGTCGAGTGGTGTTGGGTTTCGTGTTGGGGGCTCTCAGGGTTCAAGGTTCAGAGCTGCAGGGGTTGCTGTTTAGGTTGTTGCAAACCCACCAAATCATGAACCGAATCCAAACTGAAAACCCCCTAGACACCCTGCAAAACGCTCACCACCGAAGCCCCCGAAAGAAATCTAACAAGCCAACAGTTGAACTTCCCGAGATTCCCGACGTGGCCGCAGCGTGCGCTGCCATCGTGGAGTTGGGGTCCTTGATCCCACGGCAGTCCAGACCTGTGGGGCTCAGGGTTTAGGGTTTCATGCAGGATGTGAGTTTCCGTGCACTTTGTGGCACTTCTTTAGTGCTTGGGGTTTTGCCCGAGGGTTCGTGATGGAATCCGTTCACTTTATCGGCTTTTTCGTCGGGGCTCAAGCTGGAAGGCACCGTAAATCAAAAAACCTTCATTCTCAACCCTAAACCCTAAACCCTAAACCGTGATTTTGACTGTTGCCTGGGTCGCCAATATGATAACTTCAGGGGCCAGGTACTCAGCGTGTGAGGACCTGGGTCCTTGCGGGAAAAGTGAGGAGGACCAGGATGGGTCGTCGGATCGTCCTGTCGAAGTGGATGCAGTCCGGGCACAACTCCAGAAAATGAGGTTCAAAACACAATTAGCAAGAATCAAACGAGTTTCCTTCCGTAGCGCACATGAGCTCAAACTTAAATAAAGTTCCTCCACCACACCCGTTGATAGGGCCCTGAGCATATGACCTGTAGAACTCTAAACCTAAACCCAAGATTCCTAAACCATCGCATGCGCGCCCCCACCTCCTTTTCTTGCCTGGTAAACCGTGGGACGCCTATCTGTTTACGTACGGAGGGCACCGCCAAAGGATACGGGGTACCTACTGGCACTGCTTTGAAAGTGTCAGAAAATAGTAAAGCACCCTCATCTGCTATCCGAAAATATAAGTAAAATGCAATACTATTTACAAGAACCCCCGTCACAACAACAGAAAACTCCAAAACCCCTCCCGAAGCGGATCTGCGCCTGCCCCCGCCACAGCATGCTTCTCGAAGAATGGTCTGTCCTGACTCAGTCAAAGACCAGACGCAGCCTAAACCCTAAACCCTAAACCCTAAATCCACCCTAAACCCTAAACCCGAAACCTAAACCCCCCTTATGGGTAGCTCTCTAAACCCAGGGTCCCCTATACGGCTCTTTTTTATAAGGGTGCCATGCTATTTAGGGGACCCGAGACGGGATCCGAATTTGGGGAACTACTCTTCGGGTGCCGAGGATGATGGTTTGGAGGTCCGTAGTGTACATTTAGGGTTTAGGGTTTAGGGTTTAGGGTTTAGTGTTTATGGTAGTAGGGGCCTTAATGATTAGAATAGGCTTTTGGGGCTCCTGTAAAGGGTTCCTTAAAGGGTTCTATAAGGGCTACTAAAGGGTTTAGGGCTTGGGGGCCTTAATAATTAGAATAGGGTTTTGGGGGTTCCATAATGATAACTATAGTATAATATACCCCCCAAGCCCTATTCTAATGATTAAGGCCCCCCTTTTGATGACTCAAAGGCTCTTCGTTGTGCGTCTTAGCCCGACATAGCTGGAGAAAGACAGCCCTCTTAGGGAAACCGTACACTAAACCGCACATCCCAAATTCCTAAATCCTAGATAGTAACCGTCAAGCTCACACCTTAACAGTCCCCAACAAGCCCGAAAGCTTCATAATGCACTCTAAACCCTCAAGTTTGAATCCTAAACTCCCCGAATCTGCAGCCACCAAGATCCCGGCCACGAGAATGTAGTCGATCCGGGCCCCCTCATTCTCGTGGCGCTTGTTCCGGTATTGGTCCCAGCCTCAATGTGCAGGGTGTTGGGGATCAAGCCGCACAGAAGCCCAGGGACGATATGCCGGAGTCATTATCAGCCCAAGTCAGGGAGAGCTGTTTGATGCTCTCTCTCACCCTGAGGCCTAATACACCAAAGAGCTATACAGTTGCGACTCAACCAGCAGGGTAAACTCAAGAATTTTGGACCATCAGCAACAGAATCGCCAAAAGAATAACAGGAGTCAGGCCCAAAAATCCGTAGACCCAGAGTGCCAAATTCCGGCCCAGCGGCAGGTGAAGCGCTCTTGAGCTTGGGGATAAAGCTCTGCGAAAGTGTCGACGAAGCCGGTTCGCAGAAGGCCCTCTCTCTTGGAGGTTTAGGGTTTAGGGTTTATATATAGGGCTTATAAGGTTTGGGGGTGAGGCCCTAGAGAAATCAAGCATGAACAAAGCCACGAGCTTGATGCTTAGGTAAGTTGAGTTTAGTTAGGATCATAGGATGTTAATTAAGCTTCTGGCCATGTCACTCCCACCTGAAGGCTTTACAAGGTCTAAAGTCTCAAGGGTTTGCGGCTTAGGGTGATGCATCTCCGTAGAAACAGAGTGCTTGTAGCAGTTTACGTAGGACATCAGGATCTATACGTCGGGCTTGAGGAGGTGTGCACTTGGTTATGGCAGGGAAGGAAGCCCTTTTTTCGGGCTTAGCGTGCCCAGGCTGCCCAGGAAGGCGGGTTCAGGGTTTAGGCCTTGAATCAGCAGCGAACTCGGGTAAACCCGAGCCGGACACACATGATCGAATGTCCTATGAGCCGTCGGCTTGAGGAAAGATTCACGCTACTGACTCGATGACTGTCTCAAAGCTCATCGCACGTCCAGCCCTGCCCGTCCTGCCNNTTCCAACGAAACCCTAAACCCTAAACCCTAAACCCTAAACCCTAAACCCTCAAAGCTCAAGCGAGCTTTGGAAACGACCCTCAGAGAGGAAGGCAGGAGAGCCTAAAGTCTTTGCGCAGCCCAAACACTGGTAAAACCTCAGAAACCCTGAGGGTTTAGAGTTTAGAGTTTTTAGGGTTTAGGGTTACACCCCAAGGGCCCCCCTAAACCCTAAACCCTAAACCCTAAACCCCAAACTCCAGAAGCCAAAAATATCAGCCCGAAGGTTCTCGAGTTCCGTGGGAGCAGTCCTGGAACCAGGACCTGCGCAAGACAGCACAGGGCTTCCGGATGGAGGGTTTCGAGATGTTTCGAGTTTGAGAGCTCAGGGTAGGAGGGTTTAGGGTTTGAGGGTCTAGACTTTGTAGATTGAGGGTTTGAAGGTTTGCGGGCTCAGGTTTTTGAAGCTCCTTCTTGAACGAAGGGGCCTTGGGTTTGCAGGTTTGGTGCTGCTTTTTGTTTTTGGGGTTTAGGGTTTCGTGTGTTTTAGGGGGCTTTTTAGGGTTTAGTCAGAAGGATTCCAGTGCCGAGTCACCCCTTAGGGCATTGACACTCTGTGAGCCTGACCTAACCTAGGTTCCTGACTGGCCCCTTAATAATGAGGGTGCCTTTTTCCCTATACTAATTATTTGGTCTCACTACGGGCACCCCAAAAAGAAAACGGGCAAAGCATTACTATTCAGGAACTTAGTAATTGAAGTCCCCCGGCGAAGACCTAAATCATATTTACGATTTACAATGCTAAACCCTGAACCCCCAAATTACCCTAAGCCCTATAGACCCCAATACACATTAGAGGGAGCTTTGAGCCCCTAAATAACCCTAAACCCTATAGACCCTAATAAACATTACAGGGGGCTTTGAGCCCCCTAAATAACCCTAAACCCTATAGACCCCAATAAACATTCGAGTTTGCTTTGAGATGCACAAGCATCCCCAGAGCCCCACAATGGTACCTCACCACCGGTGCAGATCCCGGCGTCGTCCAGTTGCGGACCTCAGATGGTACTCTACGAGCCTGAACTGTTTAGGGTTTAGGGCTTTAGAATGGAGGTCCTCTGAGGGTTCTGTGAGGGTTCGATGGTAAGTACGTCGGGTTCAGGGTGTAGGGGCGGAATCGTAAGAATGCTTTCCGGCATAAACTGTGGTCTACATAGCACATCCGGTTCTGTGTGGCTCTATATATATATATATATGGGGTAGAGAGAGAGAGAGAGTGAGAGAGAGAGAAAGAGAGAGAGAGAGAGGGGAGAGAGAGCGAGAGAGAGCGAACAAGAGGGAAGAGATAAGGGGACATCGTTACAAATTATGGCGAACTCTACATGATTGAAGTCGCCGTCATGGCAGCTCGGTTTTTTGGCGATTTTGAGGGACTCGGTCTGCGAGTGTAGGGATTAGAGCGGCGCGGTTTCGAACTGCCAGACTCACGGTGGCGGGTCTTGTTCCTGCAGCTGGGTAATTCTCTAAATTAGGGTCCGTTTTGGGGTCTCCAATATAGTGCGGCACTCGTATAAAAGGGATCGGTCCCAAAACGGAACCTAATTCGGAGAACTACCCAGCTTCGTGTTCTGGTCTCGGACCCTAAAGATGGGCTGCGGGGACCAACTGTTGGAACCAAGACTTTCAATGGCAGTATTCCCCAACGAGGCATCCCGAGTCTGCACTGGTCGATGTTGTAGCCGGAACCCTACGACACCCAAAAAAACCCTAAAAACTCCTAAACCCTAAAACCCTAAACAAGAATTATCCATCAACCCTAAACCCTAAACCCTAAACCCTAAACCTTTTCAAAAGGCCGGAGAAATCATTCAACAAAACTCAGACCTCTACATTGGCAACCCCGAAGCCCTGGCTAGCTCGCCCTGCCATGTTCATCCCGTGGCCTGAACTAAGAATCATCATAAGGGTTTAGGGTTTAGGGTTTAGGGTTTTTAGGGTTTAGGGTTTAGGGTTTAGGGTTTGGGGTTTGGGGTTTGGGGTTTAGGAAGGTTCGTGATAATATGTACATGCCTAAGGTTTAGGGTTTAGGGTTTAGGAAGGTTCGTGATAATATGTACATGTTTAGAAAATACTACAATACTGTTGCAACAAGTTGGCTTCGCCCTAAACCCTAAACCCTAAACCGTGGGCATGTTGTCTTACACTATGCATATACAGCAGCGAAACGCCAAGAAATAACCTGACTAATAACTATTCAGGCCACTACCCATAGGCCCCATAGCAGTTGCTTTTGGGGATTACCTTGTAGGATTCTAAATATGAACCCCAAAAAGGAACTACTCTAGGGCCTATGGGTAGCTTGCATCCCTAAACGATAACCTAGACTAATAATTACTCTTCAGGGCTCTGTCTTGCGACCTTCAGGCGTTTGTTCCACGGCATTCGCAGTTTCTGATAGCAGGCTGCCTTGCGTAAATCAACGGAGGAAGCCGGAACACCGACGACAGGTGCAATTTCCGTCAGAAACCGAAAGCCTCCACATTTCATGAGGTTCGGGGCTCGTAAGGTTTACCTGTAGCCCTATACATCATAATTAGTAGGTTATGTCTCCGCGAAGCTTCGGTCGCGGGTTTCGAAGATTTCAAGAGTTTAGGACTTTGGGATGTTGGTTGGCTTTCCTAGCGTTTCGGAAGATTCCAAGAGCTTAGAGTCTTGGGATTCGCATTTTTCCGTTGGCTTCGGGTTTTGGATTGTGCTCCGGCTTACGCCCTAGCAGAGACCGTGCCCCTTGCACGACTGTACAGATGCTGGCAGCTGTGATCCAAACGGCGTGCGTCAGAAAGCCCTTAATATACTTGTCCAGAATGCCTATATGTTTTGACGGATAGCTTGAGACACAATACACCGAGGTGATTGAGCTGCACTGAACACCCAAACTGGCTACCGATTCATGTTGGAGGGCTTGGATGAGACGACAGATCTTTTGCTCATGACCCTGGCTTTGTAGGCTTGAAAGGACAGGTTGCCATTTAGTGCTCTGTCTGAACCGAAAGACATTGCAAGAGGTTCTGCCACAACTAGACCTCAACAAGAATTGTGGTCACTGGAGTGTCAGGGACACCTTCCTTGCGCAATGGGCTTCCGAAACAAGAGACACGTGATGAAGGTCAACGGGATACACTTGCCCTAAACACACCCAGCCCAAACCCAATCTAAACTGAACCCTCAACCACATGATCCCGAACTCAGGCCTAAACCCGAAGATGCTAAACTAAACCCCGGCGCAACTCTTCACAGCCCTACAGGTGTACCAAAGCCCCAACTAACCTTAAAGTAGGAACCTGATTAAGGAACTCTGGTCCCACAACCCCGAAATTTTAGGATCCATAAAAAAAGCCCCAAAAGGACCCGAGGTTGCATAACGAGGTTGCATAACGAGGCTCCTACACTAGACAATCCCTGCTGCACGCAGGCACCGGAGATCTGTAATTTCGACCTCCAGACCTGGTGCAGCTCACGCCTCGTGCGGTTTTGTGTGTTCTTCGGGGGTGAACCTGCGTGAAATCCGGATCTTCGGTGGCCCTGCTCTTCTGAAACAGAGGGTTTCAGGCTTCCGGTGTCAACACTTCAGCGTTGGCTGCGAAGGACTCGATCTTTGAGCAGTATGTACTGCGATATAAGAACCCTAAACCCTAAACCCCTAACATAGAACAACCTGGCCAAGCCCGATCAACCTTACCTCCGTGGATATTTCCAAAAGCAGGGGAAGCTTCCCTACCTACAACCTGAAACCCAAGACGATTTTGGTCCGACTGTGGAGCCGTTTCTGGATTGGCAACAAGTTTATAACTTTGTGTTTAGGGTTTCGGGGCTTAGGGTAGGCTCTAAAGTTTATAAATATGGGTGTTGAGTGCAGCTCACCGATAGTCCGGACTTCAGGTGTCCATCGCACTGATGCGGTGCATATCTGCAATGTGAGACCTCAGCCGCCCAAAACTGTAGATAAGTTCATCTAGGCCTTCGGGTTTCAGGAGTTTGGGTTTAGGGTTTAGGGTTTATAGGGTTCAGGGTTCGAGAGTGTTGGGATAACTTGTCTAGGGGGCAACTCGACTCTGCTTTGGCAACATGAGGGAAATCCATACCAACAAAATCTCCCGGCACCTACAAGTCTGAACATTGTCAACGCCAAGATTGGGATGGACTTCTAGTGGCAATACTGACTTATCATGATCACCATAGTGATAGTAATGACCAGGTCGGGCTGTGATCTCGCTTCTGTCGGACAGCGACAGTGATGCTGGCATCGGTTCACCTTGGGGTGTGGTGCAAGCATGACCGCGCTTTGTGTTCTCTGCGGCAGCAGTGGAATTTGGCCGGCTTGCAGCAGATTCCATGCTGGCTGATACCTCCAGCATGACCGAGCCCTCAAACCCCGGAGATTTCAAGGAACTAGGCCCTAGCGACAGCCGCAGCAAAAAAGACCTGAAGAGCACAGGATTCGCATGAGTCCTTCACTATCAATCAAAACAATGAAGCAAAGCTTGTCACCTCAACCTCGAAAGCCTAAACCTCAAAGCTCCGACCGATCATATGGAGCCACAGCAATTCAAGTGCGTGTATGTGTCTGTTTTGTGTTGTTTTTGGAGGTAAGGAGGGGGGGATATACTTGATTAACGTTGACGAGGAACACTAAGGACATTTACTGATTACCACTCCGGCTTCTATCTTGTGTCAGATGTGGCTCATCGAGGCTTCGCTATGAAGCTTCGGCTAGACTTGGCCCTAAACCCTAAACCCTAAACCGTGGTTGGGCTTCAGAGTGAGTCTTGGTGGCGCTGTAGATCAGATTCGGGCTCCGCTAAAGGCGCCGGGCGCAGGGCGAACATCTTCAGCACTGCAACCCTAAACCTGCCATCGCTACAGCCCTAACTAAGCCGCCCCAAATCCCTTCAGCCCTAAACGCCTGACTAACGTCCCAAGAACCTAAAGCCCCAAAAAATCAGAAAACTCTCAGGAAGCAACAAAAACAAAAACAAACCGTCAAAGCTAAGTACACGGCGGGAGAATATCAATCCGTCTCGGTCTTGGGGGGTGCCTGGGTTCCGTGCGCTTGACCGCCTGACCAGCTGAAGGTATCGCACGCAGAGCTTCGGCTAGGGCCCTTCTCCGAAAATTGTGGAGATGAAGACGGTCTAGGGGCGATATCTGATTCGCCTTTATGGCTTACTTCACAATAGGCCTGTAGGGTTTAGGGCTCAGGGCCTGTAGTGTTTAGGGTTTAGGGCTAATGGATTTATCTGGATTTGTGTTTAATTGGGGAGATGATGGCGGTTGGTCTCGGGGCTGCAGCTGGGGTTTAAGCTTTAGGGTTTTCTAAGGTCGATGCTCAGGGTCTCTATGAGCTCTTGATCTAAGGTTGCCTACTTAGCCACTATGTACACCTCCAAACGGCATGTCCTGAGGTGGAGAAGGGAGCAAGCCATTGCGATTATCGAAGCAGCGGGCGCTGAAAGTCTGCCGTGTAATGTTGGGTTCAGGGTTTGGTGTGCAGGGTTAGGGGCTTAGGGCTGAACGCCCCTAAACCCTAAAACCATCTCAGGCTCAGAAAAGCTGTTCTGCATCTTGCCTCTTGCGTTGTTTGGGTTTGCACTACTCCGGGAATATTCTTGGCATCTGCCAGCGCCCGCTGAATTGTTCTTGGGCATGTGATGTACAGGAGCTGACGAGCAGACGTGATCCCGAAACCCTGAAGCAATTGAAACCCGGACTCGATAATGTAGCCTAAGGGCCTACTGCACGCTCCGAACGGACCGCTTCTAGAACGTACCCTAAGCCAACCCTACAGAAGTATAGAATTCATCATCGATCCCTGCAAAGGAATCTGAAGTCCCAGGTTCCTGCTTCAGAGCTTCCGAGGGCTACCAGGTTTGGTTTGGGGCTTCCGACCCCAAAAGCTTTTTTAGGGTCCATGTGCCCAACTAGTATATATACTTCGGCCGGCCCCGAAGTACTTACATAGGGATACTCCAATTAAGGCCAAAGTAGATACTATTTGGC